AGGAGAAAATAGGAAAAGATAAAAGAGAGAAAGTCTTCCCGAGGCATTACCAAGGAACTGACATCCTACACAAGCTTCTGATCTGTATCAGCATTTTTGTGTGTACAGCATTATCATTTCTAGACTTTCTGCTAAAACATTTTTTGAGAGAAAATAATATCTCCCCATCTCAACATCCTTTGTGCCAAAGTAGAATGAGTGGTCTCAGAAACAGAGCATCTACATTTCCTTTAGTGAGGTGTGAAAATCCTGTACTCTATTATTGTTGCAACTTTTCTTTAAGTCTGAAATTATTTCAAAATAAAAGCTGGATTTTCTTAATGTTACTGAAAAACTGTATTTTCACAATATTAACGAAATGGCTCCTGCTTCTTTTATACCCTTGGGTATAAAGTATACTCTATTAAGTGTATTCAAGTATATTCTATTAATGCTAACCTAGCAGCTGCCCAATAAATGTGCTTTCTATTCAGTGCAAATCTCCTGGGAGGGACAAAGCAGAGTTTAGAATTAAAAAAAAAAAATCCAGTTTCTGGATCTAGCTCACTTCATTCCTTGACTTCTATGGCTTATAGAGGAAGAATATAATCAGAGCAGGCCATTTCACAAGGAATGCTATTCCTATTTCATTCAAAGGTACAAGGTAATAATTCAGAATGAAACTATTTAAGAGGAACATAAATGATTTAAGGGGGTATTCCCAAAGAGAGATGAATAGAATATTCTCCCAGGGAATCCTGGGCTCAATAATTATGCAATATGAAATATAATTAAGGAAAAAAATATATCCACACTCAACATACCAGAAAGACTTCCATCAGTTTTGATCACTGAACTTGGAAAATTAAATCAAATTCACCAAAAACTCCAATGAACAATGATAATATCAACATATTTATATAGTGCATACAGCCATGTGTCATTTAACGTCCATGATAAATTTTGTGAAATAGGACGTTACGTGTTTTGACGCTGTGCAAACACTATATTATACACTGCTGCTGCCTACAAGTCAAAGCGTACGGTAAACTTTTTATTTTTAAATAGGGAAAATTCACATTAAAGTAACGATAGAAAGTACAGTACACTACATACATAAGCAAGTAACACAGGCATTTATTATGACTATCAAGACATATGCATTAAGTTATGTACATACTGTACAATTATACACCTCCCAGCTCAATCACTTTGTACACAACAGCCATGAGATACATGTGTTGCCTGCAGGAAGCTGTTGCATTCGCTACGTCTGGTTACATCCGCTACGTCCCATTCTCTGATCAGGATTTCTAAACTCTATCACAATCTTATGGGACCATGGATGTATATGTGGTTGGATGTTGCCCGAGCAGACACTATGTGGCACATGACTGTATATAGTTACAAAGGAGCCCCGGTGGCACAGTGGCTAAGCACTCAGCTGCTAATCAAAAGGTCAGCAGTTTGAACCCACCAGCCACTCCATGGGAGAAAGGTATTTCCAAGGAGCACCTGGTGGATTCGAACTGCCAACCAACCTTTGGGTAGAGCCATAGCTCTTAACCACTACACCACCAGGGTTTCCAATGTTTATAATTCACCCTGATTTAGCTTGCTGTCAAAACTCTCTAACTAGTTTATCCCCAAATGGTTTCAAGCTGTAAAACCTGTAATAATTATTTTATAAGTAACTTCTTTTACATAATCCTTTAAGTCTCTTTTGGCTGTTCGGAGCCAGTTAAGTGCCCATCTCTTTTTTCAGCCTGGGGTCTCATTCTCTATTGCCCCTTTCCCTCCAAAATGTTCCCGGTCAAAGTCTACTCTTTTTACTTGCTAATGTACATTGTTTGCTCAGAGCCAGAAAAACCTTGTGTTTCTCCATCCCAGAGTTAGACCTGACTCACCCCCACCTCTCTTAAATGACTTATCTTCATCCACTGCTTTGGTTTTTCTTAAATAATAGCTTCTTTGTAAACAACCTTAGCAATATCTACTAAACAGGTTCTTCAGAAACTTGGCGGAGAAATTAAAGAAACAATATCCCTCTCAATAAAGCAAATGAAAAATAAAATGGTTTTGCAAACAAGGGCAAAGAATAACTGTCATTCCAAAGTTAGTAAATTAAATTACAAACTTTAGTTGGGGCCCATATTTTGAAATGAGCACTACAGGCTGTCCTACAAAAACTGAATTATAAATGTTAGCGCTAACTTCAGATAAGCAAGCTAAACAACGCCTGTCCAAGTGGGATAGATTTTACTATCTGAGAAGCAGTATAAAAACCTGAAACCAAACTCACTACTGTTGAGTCGATTCTGACTCATAGCAACTCTACGGGACAGAGTAGAACTGCCCCATAAGGTTTCCAAGGCTATAATCTTTGGAAGCAGACTGCCACATCTTTCTCTCACAGGGTGGGCTGCTGGGTTTGAACTGCTGACCTTTTGGTTAGCAGCCAAGCACTTCATTACTGAGCCACCAGGGCTCCTTGAGAAGCAGTATGAGAGAAGCAGAGTGAGAGTTAAGAAGGAAGGCTCTGAAGTCAGACCATCCAAGTTGCAATCCTGGCTCCAGCACTTATTTGGTTAACTTCTTTGTGCCTCAGTTTCCTCATCTGTAAAATGGGAATAATACATAGTGTCTGCCTGGGAAGGTTACTGTGCTAACTAAACAAGTAAGTACATTAACCCAATTAGAACAGAGCCTGGCGCACAGTGAAGTGCTCAATAGGTGGTACTGATGATTATTAGTATGTGTCCTTTCTCTACTGCTCTAACTTATTATGCCCAAGTCTCAAAACCTGAAAAACATAGTTGCTCTATTAGCCTAATTTAATCTGCAAGTAATTTCACTCAAATTAGGATATTTCTGTTGGTTTGGAACAGCTCTTGGTATGTTTCTCCCAATGTGGGCAGAACTGATGAGCTCATTCGCAGCTAGGTCTTTTCACAGACTGGGGTGCCATGCTGTTACTGGGTCATCCATTACATAAGACACTTAACAAGAGGTTTCTTTTATACAGGAACAACTGCATTTGAGCAAACCCCGAGCGCTGTGAGGTTTCACTCTGTTCAGGAGATGAGAGGTCTTCAGTCTGAGGGCTGGGCGGGTTACGGGGGACACTGTATGAGTAAGAATGCACACTCCACCATCCTAATCTGCATGCTGGTTCAATATTTCCTCATGTGTGACAAGTGGCAGAACTGTCCAATCTAGTCTGTGCATGATGACAGGTTTGAGGTTAACTGGGAGTTAACTGTGTATCAAAATCTACGTGCAGGGTAGTTATGAGAGTACACATCTGTCTCATGATCCAGGATCAGAATGGGGGTGGCAGGGACCGTCAAAATCCTATCCTCCTCTTCCTTCAATAAATCTCTGAAAGAACTGAAAGGCAGGGTGAGAGCAGCCTGGCTGAAGTCTCAGCTCTCCTTTTCCTTGCAATCGCCTTGGCAGATGCGCTAATGAGTGGTGAAGTGTTTAAGTTTACCCAGCAGGGTAAGGAGCAAAGAAATGAAAGCAAGAGTTTATTTAGATAATTAGTTCCAGTCACTCACATTTCTCTATCCAGGTATATTCTGCTTTCAGAAAACAAAACAGGCATGGCAATTTTAACCATCTTTTCCCTCTGACACATATTTTAATTTCGCAGAAGCTTTACACTGATGCCTTTAAATTTGAGGGGTCAGGGAAGAGGTCACACATTGCTTTAAGAATCTGGTAAAAACTACAGAGCCTGTGATGCCAAGAGAACTGTACAGATGTGTGTACATGCTGACACTGCCTACAAAGGGATCACCTGTCTCCTAAGGACTGTGTGCGGACTCCCTGGAATGCACAGGCCCAGGTTATGAGTTTCTTTTTGTGGCATTCTGTCCAGATTATCAAGGGGCAGAGAAATTAATTTTATAGCTTGAAGTCTCTTTAACACAACTTCAGCACCAAGCCCTTCAAGATTTGCAAACACTTAAATGCAGGCAGTCTAGAAATCCTGAGAAAGACACTTGGAAGGTCAAATATACTGTCTTCATTTTCAATATGAGTTTACAGCGAACTTGTTTTGATCATTTACCTACTTCATCATTCTACAGCCCGTGGAGATTGTTTTCTTTCCTAAAGAAAGTGACACATATTTAGAGGTAGAGGAAAAGGCAGCCATAACTTGCCTGGTGGCTCCATGCTCCAGAAAGGTGCATGGACAGGATGGCCTGAAGCCAACCAGCTGCACCTGCCATTCAAGGAAGAAGGAGAGAGTATCTCAATGGGGCATCTTACTCCTGGCCACAGAGCTGGGAGATACTGCTCAGAATGGCCAGGAGGCTTCCAGTTCTAGTTGCCGTCAAGTTGATTCCGACTCTTGGTGACCCCATGTGTTTCACAGTAGAACTGTGCTCCATAAGGTTTCCATGCTGTGACCTTTCAGAAGCAGATCACCAGGCCTTTCTTCTGAGGCACCTTTGAGTGGGTTGAAACCGTTAACCTTTCAGTTAGTAGTCAAGCACTTAACTGTATGCGCCACCCAGAGACTCGGCCGGAGACTAGAACAGGCTAAATCCCTTGTAAAGTTTATCCTTTCTTCGATCACCAAAAGAACATGCAAACTCTACTGAGCCTACAAACAACAATCTGGGAGAGGAAAGAGAATGTGAAAAATAATTATGTTTACTTGAACGGTACTGTGCTACAGAGAGAAAAAGAATAATTTCAGGGTGGGGTAGAGGAAGGAAAGGATTAGAAATGAAAATTAAAGAAGGGCTTTCATTTGGCCCAGTGTGATAGGTATTTACTATGGCACTGTTCACACATGTCCTCCTATGAACAAGCCTGGGGCTTCTGGGAAAACATTTGGGATAGTCGATATTGAGTCACGCTTGTTCAATTACAAAGGAAACTAAGCATAAGAACATTGTTGACAAAATACATGAACCATTTCCACCCATGACATACACAGTTATTCCAGTTCTTTATAGGGTACAGTCTGGTCATTCAGAAGAACACAGGGAGACAGCTTCACTTACATGGTTAATGAAGAGACTCTTGCGTTTTTCTCTCACTGTGAAAACAAAAGATGCAACAGAAATATTACATGCCTGCATGTCAACTGCTCCCAGGTTGTTGAAAACTGGGTCTCGGTGTGTGATGGGCCCATCCTTCCACCAACCAGTTTCCCATTTGCTCAATTATCAAATGTAAGAACAAGCGACCTGCACAGACACAGATCTGAATTTGGCTAACAGAGGGAAGTATATACCCACTTACACAAAGCAAGCACCCTAATAAAAAATAACAGCAGCGGAAATTAATGGAGGGTAACAGATTTTTAGTAACTGTATAAAATATTAGTAACTTTCATAAAACTTGTATGCACCCATTAGTTTAAGACGATTAACAAATAACAGGGCTATTTATTTCTCACTCAGCCAGACCAATAAAAGTCCATACTGTATGAGAGAAATACAAATAACAACAGCAATATCTATAACAGCATCAAGACACAAGACAGATAATGTAGGTGGGAAGAGTTATTAATCATGGAAACCAACTGAACACCCATGCTGAGTGCTGGAAAATACGACCGGGCTTTGGTCTATAAGGCCTCCTGAAGTAACTTGCAGCCCCCAGCCCTCATGAGGCTGATAAAACATGCAATCATAAATACCACTCTGCCCTCACAAGATTCATTTCTCACATTGCTTTCTGCAGACAGTATGACCTAACTGGCTCTGTCTTCTGTGTCTGCAGACCTCAGGGTTTCTCAAACTAGGGACCCTCAGACCCAGAGATGCAGAAGGGTGACAGGGAGCACAGAAGAGCTTCTTAATAGTCTACTATTACTGAATTCTGCCTTTTTCTCCCCCTGAAGAATTGCTTGTTAGGGTGCGCACTAATCAATCAACACATTTTATGTGGCAAGTCACTATAGTAGATATAAAAAGTGAGTTTCCTTCAAGGAAATAAACCCTAGACTGGGAAATCAACAGTGGTACTTAGAGTACCCTAAACCTACGGTTTGCAAATCCAGCTTATCATCTGCGGAGGGTTCTTGTTTTTGTCTGCGTTCCACACCCAGATGCAGAATCACTGTAGTTTTCAGCAGCTCTCCCGCTGACCTGATCCAAGGCCTGGGAATCATTTCCCTGTCATTTACATGCTGTTCTTAGGTTCACAAAGGAACATTTCTCTTTTCCTTGTAAGTCTTATCCTCTCTGGAAGGAATGCTGAACTCCTTTCTATCTCAAAGACAGTCAAGATACAAAAGCAAAAATTAGTCTGAGGATACAGCTGAGTGAGTTAAAGAGAAAGGCAGCTGGAGAGAAGATGCCTTCAACAAGCTATCAGATGGGCCTGTATGCGGACAATCACAGACTGCTCCCCTCAGGGAACAAGGAGGCGGTACCCCCACATAGTCCCAGGCCACAGTGCCATTCCCTGCTCCCCTAAACCAACAAACAACAGTGACCAACTGTCTGCTGCGTACAATGTGGACGCTGCATAATTACTTTTGACCTAACTTCAAATAAGCGCTGACATGTGAACCATAACAAAGGAAAACTGAGGTGTCCAGCAGGAAGCTTCTGGTTGTAACTTCCTAGCATACACGCTTTGTATGTGCATCCATGTGTGTGCACACGTGTATGTCTCTGTGTGTTTGCGTGCATGTCTGTGTGTGCATGCATGTCTATCTGTGTGCTTGCATGTCTCTGGATGTGCGTGCATGGCTGTGTGTGCATGCATGTCTATCTGTGTGCTTGCATGTCTGTGGATGTGCGTGCATGCCTGTGTGTGCATGCATGTCTATGTGTGCATCTGTATGTCTGTGTGTGTGTGCACATCTCTGTGTGAGTTTTCCTTAAATCAATTCAACACTAAGTTATTGTACATTTAGCCAGGGTTGCTCTACCACATGGGGTATGATGACATTTCTGTGGTGATTCCCCACTGGGTGATGTGATCTAGAACAAGAACACTTTCTACATGGGCCTTAGATCTGACAGGGTTTCCAGCAAAGTACCTATGACACTGAGCTTTTCCCATGGTGTCCCAGCAATAGGTTTGTGACCCATTTCCCTGCCCATAACTGCCTGGATCAGGGTAGATGTCTAACCCTAGCTAGGCTACTTCTCTCTCCTGGGAATTTGGAGTTGGGACTTAAACTCAGGACCACTGCTGGTGCCTTAACAAGGTAGAGCTTACAGAAAGGAGCCCTGGTTGGGTAACAGGTGCTTGGCTGTTGACCAAAGGTTAGTGGTTCCAACCCACCCAGTGGCTCCATGGGAGAAAGACCTGGCAATCTGCTTCTGTAAAGATTACAGCCTAAAAAACCCTATGGGGCAGTTCTACTCTATTACATGGGGTGGCCAAGAGTCGAAATTGACTCGGAAGTGGACAAAAACAACAGTTTACAGAAGGTATGTAAACTCAGGTGTGGAGTAGGGCAAGGGCACCTCCTACTGTGCAGAAAAGAGTTAACATGGCTCTCCCTCAGCAGGCCCGCTTGCAAGGTCGGCCCTTGGCTGGCATCAGGAATTTGGATTTCACAAGGGTTCCCACCATTCCCTATTAAGAGTGGCTCACTGTGCCTAAACTGTACAAACAATGTGGTTATACTGAACACCTGCTTTCCTTCTGGGAGTCTGGAATTTTGATGCATACCAGGCAGAGGCTGCCTACATGATCAGCTCCCAATAAAAAGCTCTGAGGAGCTTCCCCGGCTGACATTTCACACGTACTATCACAACTCTTGCTGGAGGATTTAAGTACGCCCTATGTGACTCCAGAAACCCTGCTGACACAGGGTTAGCTGTGTCACACAGTTAGCTACCTATAGCTGCTAACCAAAAGGCTGGCAACTGGAATCCACCAGGCACTCCTTGGAAACCCTATGGGGCAGTTCTACTCTGTCCTATAGGGTCGCTATGAGTCGGAGTCGACTCAATGGCAATGGGTTTGTTTTTTTTGTTTGTTTGTTTGTTTGTGTGACTCTACTGGGATGGGACCCTTGGAAGTTTGCACTTGGTTTTCCCTGGACTTCACCCCAGGAGTCTCTTCACTTTGTTAAACTGTGCTTGGTATCCTTTCGCTCTAATAAACCACAGCCACAGATACAACTATACGCTGAGTCCTGTGGTTCTCCTAGGAAATTACTGAACCTGTCTGTTACCATGCATAAAAGCACTGGGGAAGCAGTTAAGATGGGAGGGGTACGCTGCCTTAATTCCCAGTGTCTTTTAGCCTCTGTTCCAGTTACTCATGAGGTTTCTGAGATACCTGGTGCCCTTCAAATTAATTTTTTCTTTCTCCTAAGCTAGCTGGAGTAGGTCTAACACACTCTCACTGGGAAAAAAACGTAATAAAATAAATTGGAATCTCTTACACTGGTATCACCAAAAAGGATGGACAAAATTACCCAAATCTAAATCTGTCTTTAAAATAAATTTGAAACCACTGAGGCCATGAATCAGCTCTGAAAGTCAAAGCACTTTAGCTATTGTGTTTTATGTGATGGTATAAACAATGCCAGCTCATTACTAATAGTTGGCTTTAATCATTTTTAAAACCTCAATATTTTTGGTTAATAATAACATAGCAATCAACATCTCTTGAGTTTTCAGAGTTCCTACATAATTGAGTGCGTTAATACGGCCTTATTTCGCTTTGTGTGGAAAAACAGGCAATAAATTGACGTGGGTCATAAACCTCATCTTTCCTGGGAGAAGAATAATAGCTATCTCTTTTGATCCAATCTATATTAGTTTGTTAAGAGGATTTTTAATTGACTGTAACAATAGTCCTTAATGACTTAAACAGAAAATATACGAAAGGCTTTAAAAACAAGCTGTCTAAAATCAGCAAAAACTGCTACCCTGGGCATAAAGAGTCTTCTCCAGCTAATATGGGAGCAAGGAGTAGAGTAGTGCTGGCAATTTGAGGGATAAACATAACTTCAGTTAGGACACTATGAGACACTCCCTTGCCAAAATGTCACAGAAGTAAAATTTCTTCAGTTTTACAAATACAACTGTGTGGTGTAGAACACAATTTTGGCCTTTGCCCTTCATTTCTGTGAAGTAATGCTGGGAGTTAACTGAGGTGCCTTGATCTGAAACCTCCAGACCAAACCTGAGGATTAATTGGGGGGCGGGGGTGGGGGGTGGCTAGCCATACCAGAAAAGACTTACCTGGTAGGCCTATGTCAGCTAACCAGGAGGCATGAGTGAGCACATGCAATGAGGGTTCAACCATGACTGGCTGGTAAAAGCCCTAAACACAAAAGCTCAGAGAGCTTCCTGGTTGGTGAAGGAAGGGTGACATGCCCTTTTTGGGACATGGAAGCTTCACGTTGGGAGCCCTCATTATGATGATCGTAATTTGTATTCTTTTGCTATAATAAATCTATAATCATAAGAGTAGTACTTTCTGTGAGTTCTGTGAGTTCTGTGAGTCATTCCAGAGAATTATCAAACCCAAAGGAGCACTGGGAGCCAGCAGATAAAAGTGAGGAGACCTAGGGAAGCCTCCCAGCTTGCAGCTGGCATCTTGAAAGGGTAGTGGACAAACCCCAAATTTGTGGACAGCAGGTCATAAGTTTGGGGTGTCATGTGGCCCCCGCAAACTTGTGGCTCGTGTCTGCCTATTTGGCAGTCTGAATGATGGCGATCTTTTAACTTGTGAGCTCTGCCCTAGCTCTGGTGGCTAGGGTCAGAGACAGTGAGTGCCGCATGGGTGGCTTGTGACAGAGATGATGGGGAAGTGGGACAGTGGGGATCTGATCACTCCTCACACTCTAGGGTTCGAATTTATGCTGATTTTTATCCAGGAAACATCTTTCTGAAAAATCCAGTGCCTAATTATTAATAAGAATCTGTTAACAATCTAAAGGCAATTCTAGCTTACCCCTTTTACAGACACACATTAAAAATAATTACCTTGGTGTTATAGATTGAATTGTGTCCCCCAAAAATGTGTGTAAACTTGGCTAGGCCACGATTCCCAGTATTGTCCACCATTTTGTCATCTGATGTGATTTTCCTATGTGTTGTAAATCCTACCTCT